TTAATCGAATGAATCAATTATTAATCTATTATTTTATTTATATAGCTTATTATTGTGGAAGATAAAACTACGGTTTGGCAATCACGAGATGAGTTCTCAGTGAGGTTGCATTCAGTTAGGCTGGCAATTAATCTCATGATTGCTAGATTACGTAAAATCGACGATACAACATGTCGTCCTTTTAATAAATACAGTGAAACCCGTTTGAAAATTTTTTCCTGTTTTTAAGCAGTTTATATTCCAGTTACTATAGTCAATTATTTCTACAATACAAAACTAATCATTTAAATAAAAAATTCTTTAAAAAAAAAAAACAACTTTCTAAGGTTGGCAATTTTGCTTTCAAAAATTAAAAAAATTACCAGAAAAAAAATATACGAAAGTCTTTAGAAGTGAAACTCATTGGTCTAATATTTAGGTTAAATTTCAATAAGTGTAACTTAATGTGTTTATGATATTCTCAACCAAAATATTGGGTATTAGTTATAAAAAAATATTTATTATTTTAAAATAAAAGTAGCAGCCCACCCGCTCAAAAAATTTAAGAAAATTTCCTTTCTTTTTCCACGAAAAATATCTGCATCAGGTTTCACTGTAAAATATTAATACATTTTACTTCTCGTACTTTCATAATTATATATGAACTCACTTTTCATTAAATCTCTTTATTATTTTTACATTTTCAGTCTGTTATTATTAAAATATATTAGGATTTTAAGATAATATTGCGTTTTATCATTATACAATTTATTCTAAACATGTTTTCTTTATGCTACTAAGTTAAACACTTCAGCGTTGCATTTATTAACTTATTTAACATTCAATTTAACTGAAATCTAAAGTATTTACAATATTTATTTTGCATATTTATACAAGCAATCGAAATGAATTAGAACAACAATCATATTGACTCGACTTTCTCCATTCTGTGTGCAGTGACGTCACAACGAAAATATCCTAATATAGATCTCTTCATCAGTCTTGCGACAGAGTTATTGTTACATCCAAACACTGCCAAGCACTTTATTAGACAGGGTTTTATTTTTACAGCCTCCATCTATTTGGCGTTGACATATTTTTCCGAAAAGTGCTATTATTTCCGCCCATTTAATGCAAACCTCCCGATCACTCAATGCAATTGACGTAGCTCAGTAATTAAATTAATGTATCGATAAGTTGCATTGATTTTATGCTTCTTGTTTACTTATAAACTTGGCTGCGTTGTTTATTTTTGAATAGAAGGGAAAGTAAACCCATCGAGAAGTTTTATCACGCATGTGGTTTACCCTAAATAGTCTTATTGATTTTGCCGATCATTATATTGCATATGGATTTATAGAATTAAGAAAATGCAGACTGTTGCGGTTTTAATTAATCAATTTATCTCGTTAAATCATATGTATTTTGTAAGGTTTTAGGTTTGTTTATTTAACAAACGAATAAGTTTAAATGGAACATAATATTTTCCTTTGAACTGAAATGGAATTATGAATCCAAGTATAAACATTTCTGAGACATTTCTGTGTTCTTTTTAGTGTAGCAAAGACGTTATTAATATAATTTTATTTATTTTTGTTGTTTTTGCAAATATTCTTATTTATTCTTCGAATGTCTTTTATGCTATTCCTTTAACAACTAAATCTTTTTCTTAATTTATTATTCAAAACTAAATACCTTCTCACACTTTAATATTCACATCCTGTCTTTTAATCTATTTTTAATTCAAGTATGCATTAATTAACATTTTAACGTTTTCCCTTTTACTAACTTGTGAGAAGCATCTTATTCCCTAAGACGAAACAAATTACGGATTTATTTTCCAAGATTTTTACGTAATTTTTATCCGAGAGCACTTCGTGTGTGTCACTTGAATATTTATTCTCTGGTTATGATAGTTAAATAAAATTAATTTGATCTTTTGAAATCCTGTACCTGTTACTCCTGTTCCCTCGAATATATATATAAAAAATACAAGAAAACACTAAGAAAGTTAAGAAAAACAATAAGTATCATGAGTATATAAACATAAGTATATAAAAAATTTTTTGAGTGCTCCTCACACTATTGTATTAATATATTTTGCTTTGGTTTTGACTTTATTGATACAATATCAGAAAGCACTCTGNTGTAATATTTCTATTAACGTGAATGTCCCAAAATCAAGAGAATATCGACATTCACCAAAGAATGTCAACAATCACATGGTCGCTTTGGTGAATGACCGAAATATTTGTTATATCCGATTTGATATTATTTTATTTTTTGATATTATATTTCCTCGATATTTTAATATCTGCTGAGAATAGATTAGGAGAAACATCAGTGGTCGAATGAAACGCATGCTGGGCAGTGGCACTTGACTTTTAAAAAACGTTGGTGTAGGGCATACCGGACAAAAGTATACCGGACAATAGCACTGAACTTTAAAAAACATTGATGCATCTTGAAAAAACATTGAACATACCGGGCAAATGCATGCAAAGGAAGTGGCACTTAACTAAACCAAGTATATATTTCGGACAATTACCAAAGCAACTATGTGATTGTCAGCATTTACCGGTGAAAGTCAACAACCTACAATTTCGATCATTTATAGTTACAGTTCCATGAAATATGTACAGACTTTGAAAAACATTGCTAGAAATATAGTAAAATTTTTTCCGAAATAGATTGATTAAATCTGTACATTAGATTTAGATTTTTAGAATATTTTTATTTATTTTGCTAAATAAAATTCGTACCTTACATCTTATTTAAGTTTTTCATAGTTAACTGTTGTGTTGTTTTCTATATTCTAACTTCACTTTTCCTTAAATCACCATCTCACCTCGGCATTAAGGATAATTGACCACTTGTTGGTTTAATTTCAAACAATATAATTTTTTTTTGTATTTTTGTTCTCAATATTCCATTATTTTTGTTCAAAATATGTTGCGTACAGGTATGAGAATTTATAATATGCGAAAACTTTTTTATGCAAATTTTTTTTTGTTGATGTTTATGGGATTTGTGGTGCTAATTTTTTAAAACTTAATTACCATAATTATTGTACCAATATAAATTTAAAATATAAAATCTTGGCGGTTTTAGTTTTTGTATAACATTTGAATTTGTTTACATAAATATTTATTATTATTTATTTCTAGTTTTAATGTCACTTAAGAGAAGATTTCGAACGTTAAAAGTTAATAATCATTTTAAACTTAACATTTTCTACTAGCTGAAGATTTTTCTCAAATTAAGATTAATTCATAAATTAGCGATGTAGTAATTTGTCAGAATTAAGTTCAATTAGCGACGCTTAAGTTTTAAAACTAGAATTACAATTATCGCCTAAATGGATTTTTGAGACGATTTCTAAAAGTGAATGAATGTGCTATTAGATTCATAACTAATCAAAGTAGGATTAGTTTTAATCTCTTTGTAACAAACGTATGTACTTAAAACTTGATTGTTAACATTAATTAACTTCGAAAATTGTATAATTGATGCTGGAATTTGTGATAAATACAACGCAATGAATCATTAGTATAGAGTACTGTAGATTTCGGATTATCATAATTTTAGTTCGTTCATTAGTTCAACATTAGCCTTAAGTTTTAATTAATTTTAGTATTAAAATTAATCAATTGAAAAATGAATTAATAAATATAAAAATAATTTGTTTCGAGCAATTTACGTTTAGTTTTAGCTTTTTATGAAGCTTAGTTTGTTGATTCTTATTTATTTATTATTTTTATTATATGTCTATGAAAAGGCGACTTACATTATATATTTCCACGTTCAACTTTCTTCGTTACTTTGAAAGTCCACAAGTTTTCAAAGCACACTTGTCTTCTTAAATTTAGATTTCTTGAAATTAAGTCAGCGTTTAAAATTAAAATAATGCTGATTTTTGATTTTAAGCTTAGAATTCCGCGGTCGACTGTACCAGGGTTCTTCTTTGTTCATGACCAGTCGCATGAAATTAATAAATAAGCTGACAATATACGATGCAACAATTGGTCAGCTTAGAGAAAGGCAATGTAATTGTTTTTTTCTTACCAGCTTGATGTTTAATGTAAAAGATCAGCTTAAATTGATAAACTTAAAAGATAGTGTCCTTAACTGGTTTTACCTTATGACTATATTAAGTTATTAAAGATGGAATGACTGACATTTTATGACAAAATCACGCTGAAGAGAACTGTCATTTCATGAACAAATTATTTTGAAGAAATATGACATTTAATGTACAGATCTCGTTAAAAAAAGCATTGTAATTTATGACCAGAACAAGTTAAAGAAGGATAAGAACATAATTAAAAGTAAGAAGAGAAAAAGAAGTTATAGTGTTATGATGCTAGAGAAAGGAATCACTCAATTTTTTCATCTCCTAAAATAGCAGAATACTTCTTTATAGCAATCGAAAAGTACAGCCTTTAGTTAACTGATAGCTTTACTATTCACCACTAACTATTCTTCTGAGTAGAATAAACTAATATTGGAAACCGATGTTTGACCTACTGTTTTCAACTAATTGGTAAAAATGGTAAAAAAAAGTTTTCCTGCATAATAAATTATTTGAGCCGATACGATTGCACTAAAATTACCTTATTACTTCCATTTACATTTTTCTTTCTTATTTGCTTCGTAATTTAACACGTTCACGCCGGGGTGACCCACCGGTGGGTCACGCTAGATTGTCTCAATAAAAACTGGTAATAATAAATTTCATTTTTTAGTTTTTTCCCGGGAATAATAAAAATCCATAACTACCAATTGTTTTTAACGGATGCAATTTTTATATTGAATTGCTTCTTCGCCGTGATAAATTTCCTCACAGTGAATTGTTATTGTTGAGAATAGATTAACTCCTCCCGAATATTATCTAATATTGAAATAGTTCTTCTACCAGTATTTTCACTTTTCCCGGCGTGAACGTGTTAAAATAATAGATAAATTATCTACTTATCTAAGTTATATAATCTAACTTATCTCATGTTTTCTTTCTTTTTCAGAATATTTTAAAGAATTGCTAAAAACTTCTAAAAAGGACTTTCATGAGATGTTTCTTCGAACATATGGCATGCTGTACGATAGGAACTCCTACATCTTCAGGGAAATGTTCGATGACCTGGAAAAATACTATCAAACAGGAGGGGTCGATTTGACAGCAGCATTGGAAAATTTCTTTGATCGTCTCTATAGGAAAATGTTCCAGGTAATTTTCAATTTCTTTTTCTTTTCCTTCCAGACCACAAAATTCCAACTGAATTCGTCTCTGCTAACAAACGATTGCGCATTTCCGTATTATTGAAACCAGTCTACTTTATTGTTTTTTAATTATTATTATAACATGTTAATGTAACTGTGACAAAAGGATTTGAAGAAATAAAGAATTTAAATGTGTGATATGTAATTAAGATATATTATTAAGATATCTCTTAAAATGAGTCTCTAAAATATAGATTTTTTTTTCAACGATGACATATTTCTATAAATCAAATTTGATGTCTTTTTTTTGCCATATTTGTGCCATACCACTGCCATATTTGCCTCAACCAAGTGTGATGTCATTTTTAAATGTCTCAGTAGAAAATGGGACTAGTTTTAAAAGTTTAAGAGCTAGACAAATCCTTAAATTTTTTTCTACTCAAAGAACTTGCATTTTTATGTGGACCACGTATTTAAAATTGATTTTATTATGGTAGTAAAAATTCCCTTTAGTCGCCTACTCTCTCAATAACGTTAAAATGCTTCTTCGATTTCTTCTTTGGCTGCAATTCCATAAAACACATATTTTTACAGAGTGTTGCCGTAGTGGCCTCATTTAATATATATTTCTAGACTCTTTAGGAAATGTGGAATAAGAGGTCACTAATTATTATTTTAGAAAAAAAGAGCGAATGTGTTTTCAAATTCAGACGAATTATTATTGAGGCTAGTAAAATCAAAGGAAGGATTAAAATGATCAAAAATCAGTTTACTTGAAAATGAAGCTTAAAGGTGTTTCCTCTCGAAAGGTGATTGTATTCGACTTTAACCAGGAAAATAAACTGATTTATTACGGTTATTTTGTCTAATGAGTGAGTAATATATATTAAAAGAAGAATGTGTATATTTAATATCTATAAAAACATCTGTTTCATTCACTCAAATATCCAGATTTTTTTAATTTTTTTTTCTTTTCTTTTTTTGCGTTGAATTTGGTGCAGCAGTCTTTTCGAAGTCGATTGAGTCCTTCAACTTTACATTTTATCCAATCCCACCATTCAACTACCATTTCGATTGCGTTATCTAAATTATTTATTCTTTTATCCTACATTTTTAACAGTTTTTAATTTTATAATTTAACGTTTTATTTACAAATTTTTTGCATATAATATTTTTATTTTATTTGTTTCGAAAATTATTTTTAAACAAATTAAAATTTCAAAATAGTAACATTTTTATACAAATACACAATAACTAAAAAATAATAAGCGTGTTTTTTCAGTGTAAATTTTTTCATTGCCTCTTTTAACTTATTATGATCCAAAACTCCCACTATTCGCAAATAGCTGACAAATTACTTTTCGTTCTTTATTGAAAAAAAAAGTAAGAAATTCATATAAAAATAAAAGTTCATGGGACTCAAATCATCTTCTTAACAATGGAATTTCTAGTTTTATCAAACCTAGACTGATTTGATAAAGAACTCAATATGATGTAAAACGATTTATTTTCCCCTCTTCTACTTTTCTTCTTTTTTTTAATAATAGTCTTCCTTGAAATATTTTAAGGCTTTCAAGAAACTTCTTTTAGAGCTTCATTTCACTGAAATGAAATTCTTTCATTCCTGTAGCTTCGTTTTGTATAGTGCAATCAAAATATCACATTTTAACTTGCTTTTTTGATGCATTTCTATTCGAAAACTGTAAATCTTATTTCGATTCCAAAGATGAATTTCGTAAACTTGTAAACAAATAAATATTAGTAAACACTTATTTCAATTACTATAACTATTCTGTATTCAATTACAACGAGTATTATGATTGTATCTATTCTTTAATAGTTAAATAATTATTATTGTATAGTTATTTAACTATTACAGAATAGATATAGATACTATTCTTTAATTATTAAATAATTATAAAGTCTTTATTAGTTTAATAGTTTTAAGTAATGCAATACTTTTGCTACCTAAATGAAATTTATCAAAAGTCATGATAATATCGCATTCGACAATTATCGTTATTGATAATACTCGTGCTTACATTTCCGTTATTTATTATTGCCGTTAAAGATTGCGAAATATTGTATTTTATAGTTACCGTTACAGGTAAATCTTGAGAAAATTTTGTATGCGTGTTTTATAGTTGTTAATATTGATCTCGATATGATTTTTTAAATTAGGATTTCAATTTTTTTTCTTGCGTTAATTATAGTAGACCTAGCGTTTTTAAATATCGTCATAGCAATATTTTAAAATTATCTATAGCTATATTTTATCTATAGCAATATTATTATCTATAGCATTTATTTAAAATTATGTATAGCCTATATATATACCGCCCAATTTAATTTTTCAAATGATTTTTTTAATAATTATTTTTTCTCCTTACTTTAATTTTTTTTTACAAAAAATGATTTAAAAGATCAATTGAAGATTAAATTTTTAGCAAAAATATAATTAAAAAAAAATTTTTTTCCACATTAATAGAGCTTTAATACGAGGACGTTTTACCATTGGTTTCCCCCCTCCTAAAATACGCAAAATAATTTTTTTTAACATCAAAACTAGATTAAACTGCTTAATTCGTGCCTGTGTAGTAGTTAATTAAGAAACAATTACCTTATGAGTTATATTTATCTTAACTGAAGGCTTACTATTCAATTGTTAAGACATAACTTACAGTAATTCTATATTATAATTCTGAACATAACCTAATTAAAAAAAATCGTTTTTCAAAAACATAAAAATGTGATAATATAATTATTAAATTACTTTGCATTTATATAATTTAATTAATAATTATTGATTTGAACGTTAATAAACATTTTCTTAATCGTTAATGGGTTTGTCTAAAAAATAAAAATTTCGCATTATTTCTCCATATGAAATAAGTATTTCTTTCTAACTCCCTTTATGTAATTTTTGGATAAGATAAATCGTATTTGCTTTGATCTAAGTATCTGAATGGGTTTATTTGTTTTACTTATTGAAGCGAAAGAGATATTATTTGTTTCCTTTTACTTAATGTGTACCACTTTTCTTTTCCTTTTTCGCCCCATTATTTTGTTTATTTGTTATTATAAAATATAAGTGGAGCAATAATTGTACTTATCGTACTAAAAAGTTTCAAACCTGGACACAGCTCGAAATCCTTGTTTACAAAAATAAAAGCAGAAATGGACATAGCATTTGATTCTATTATTCAAGCTTCTTTTATAATAACTGTTCTTTAGAATAAACTAATGTATCCAAATGAAGTCGTGATTTTATACGATTTTATTTTATTATATCGTCCATTTTCATAAATCACTTGGTTTATTTTATTAAATTAGTCTACTTTTTATTTTTATTTAAGAAAGACTTCGAAATCAACAGTTATATTTGCAAGGTTGCCATAGGTGCTATAAATTTATAACTGTGGTAGTAAACTTACATTGTTACCTTTACTTGATCGTTTAGACTTCTGAATACGAAGACATCACCTAAAAAGTTGTGACATCGCGTGCTGCTGTGTCCATCGCCTGAAGATCTGTAATTTGTCTAGCTACCCTCACCTCTAAGTACGGGACCTTGCTCGTAATAATTAAGCTTAGTTTTAAAATAAGCAAAGGACATGTGAAGTAGTAAGCACGTAATTCCTTGTTTAGTTGTTAAATTTGAGTTATTAACTTAAAACGTTCATTTTCTACTCTGTCCATTCACGTAAATACGCATTTCGAGCTAAGTTCATTTTTGTAAACGCGCGTTTTGAGCTGTGTCCATTTTAACAAGCATTTAAAGCTATATCCATTTTCTTAAACACGCATTTCGAGCTGTGTCTATTTTCTTAAACACGCATTTCCAATTGTGCCCATTTTCTTAAACACTCACCCGAGTTGTGTCCATTTTCCTAAGCAAGCATTTTGAGCTGCGTTTATTTTCTTAAACACTCATTTCGAGTTGTGTCCAGACGTAAGAACTCACCGACCCTAGTTGTGGGTGTTGTTATTCATTTATTTTACAGACAGAAATACTATGAGTTTTAACACAAATCATATTAATTACTTTTCAAATGATTTTCGAATAATAATTATTAAATAAAGATCTCATGCTTGTGACGAAGTGATTTAAAAGTTTTAATATCGCGATATATCGTCAGTAAATATTGATATTTTACGATATATCGCTTTATTTTTCTAGTGTAACTTATTTGGATTAATTTTACATTGGTTAGTATTCCAGTTAGCGAAATTAAATTTATCAACACGCATGATAATATCGTATTCGATTGGTATCTTTCCCGATTATACTCGTTATATTATCATGTTATATAATTAGCGCAATATTATCTTGTTCGTGAGAATTATCAATAACGATGTTATTGTTACCGTTAATTATCAACAATCATTGGAGATATTAATCGCGTGGTTATCGTATTAGATATTTATTATTGTCGGTTATAGTATACTCGATATCTATCAACCGTGGTATACACTATGAAAATGTTTAAACTAAGATGTATAAAAATATCGATACTTGATCATATATCGTCCAGTTGTTATGATGGAACTAAGTTTTCCATCGGAAATAGCAATTTATATCTTCGTCCGCTTATACCCGATATAGCTAAGAAGACAGACTTTTGAATGTTTGAGTGAATACATTTTTGTTTTTAGTTTGTCTAAAGTAAGAACTCCCCTAGCCATTCTTATGGACACGTGGCAGTGACTATGATAACGAGATATAACTATTTCAAGTAGGGGTGTGGGATCACTGTTTAGGAGAGGTTTTGGCTCAGGTCGGAGTGAGAAAGGGAGTCTTTTTCTTTGGTCTATTGTGTTAGCCCTAGAGTGAAGTGAAGCTATAGTTTGTCTAGGCCAGTGTTTCCCAAACTTATGACTTTTGTGTACCCTTTCTAAATTTTTCGTAACGCTGTGTACCACTAATAAAAAGAAGGATGTATTTTTCACTATAAAAAAATTGCATAAAAGTTAAAAATCACAACTGGCTGTCGACACCACTAATTATTAACTGTTAACTCTGCAAAAAATAGCCAATAGAAAAATACGTAATAGTAAATTTTCATGGCAAGCTTTGTTTTTAAATAAAAAAATTTTGAAATTTTCGTTTGTTGCGAAATATTTTGCATAAGAACACGTACCCCAGCTAAACTGTTCCCGTACCCCTGGGGGTACGCGTACCACACTTTGGGAAACACTGGTCTAGGCCAAGAACTCCTACCGCCACAAAGTCTGAGGCCGTCTGGTGCTATGGAAACAAGAATGTCTCATTTTAGGGAGGGTAGCTTCACTCTAGGACTAACACAATAGACCGAAGTAAGAGATTCCCCTTCTCTCTCCCACCCGAGCCGAAACCACTCCAAAACAGTGACCCGGCACCCCTACTTGAAATAGCCATACCTCGTTACCATAGTCACCGCCACAGGTCCAGACGAATGTCTGGGGGAGTTCTTACTTTAGACAAACCATACTCTCCCTGAAATGCGTTATTCTTATGCGTCCATAGTAACACACGGCCTCAGACTTTGTGGCGAGAGGAGTTCTTACCGTAGACAAATTATAGCTACCTTAGAAGTTGACTTTTTAAGTCTTACACAAAACAATGACATGTCACTTTTTTCAATGTTTTTTTATCAATGAAATTTAACTTCATTCAAATTTTATGAGTTAATTAGGCCTATAGTTTCTGTTAAATAACATGAATTCTGCTTATTTGAATGGAGACATTTCTTCTGTGCATGAAAGTGCTTTCTCTCATTAAAACAAGTCATGATTCTGCTCTTTACACAAAAGTGCCTTTTTCGTTATTTATAAATCATTGTGAACAAGCTAATGCGCAGATACTGTGAAGCTGAAACAAAGATAATTTGACATTTATTTCTCTTAATGTAGGTGCTTAACAGTCAGTACACGTTCAATGATATCTACATGACTTGCATAAGTCAACAAATGGAACAGCTCAAACCCTTCGGAGATGTTCCTAAGAAATTAAACGTGGAAGTCAAAAGATCCTTCGTAGCCACGCGGACATTTGTTCAGGCTTTGGTCATTGGAAGAGATGTTGTGAAATTCATACAGGAAGTAAGTTGTCATTATTTTTTGTTATTATTATGAACACTAAAATTTATGTTAATATTATTTTTCTTTCACGGAGTGAAAGAAAAAACGTAATCAAACCTACTTTGTCCCGCCTTGACGTCTAATGTATATATTTTTTTATTTATTTCTAATGCTCACCTGTGTTAACATTTCGTCAATTCAGGCATTTACAGGGCATATTTGTTAGCCATTCTTTCAGGTGCACCATATTAGGTGGGCCAACGTTGCTCCCACAGTAAGAACAGATAGTACAGAATGAAGCAACATTCATGCCTTGCCCGTGATTCGAACCAGAACCTTTCCCTGACCACATCTAAAATATACATAATAAGATAACCAAGTTATGTTGCTTGTCCGTGTCAGAACGGCAGCGAAGCAGGATGAAACTAACAACTATGCTTGAATACATGTAGGAATATCAGAAAGACATTATACAAACAAGGAAAATAGCACTATTAAGATGTAGGCTTTTAAGAATTTTATTTAGTGTATGATACACTGTAAAATATTCAGGATCAATAAAGTACTTTAGGTGTAGCATCAGTAGAATCCATTTTTTACCATAAAATGTAATACCGGAATTTTTTACAGTAATATTTATTTAATTAGAGTGATTCAGTGATTTTAGGGTAATTATTTCTGTAAAAAAACGGTATACCAGATTTTATGTTCCGTAACATATTCCAAATGGTAAGCTTCCATCGATAAAAAGGAGAAATTCTTTTTAATTCTACGAAATAAAATGTTCTAAGATGCAGCTCAATATCTTAGTTTAGAAACGATTTGCAAATCCTTATTTAGAGTTTTTTTCATTTGATCAATCCATCAAAACTCTCCTATCTTTCATAGTTGAACTCAAAGTTGCTTCATAGAACGGCAATCTTTCATTCCGGCATAAATCTAAATCACAGAAAAATCCCAGGCTCTTGCAATGGACATGTGATAACCAGTTTGCTTCATACTCTCTGGAGCCTGGATCCTTCTAAACAAGTCATATAAACAAACGTTTGAGCGCTTGGAAAAGTGTGGCAAAGGAATAATTGAAGTAATTTACAGTTTTTACCCCCCTCCCCCTTTGGGTCAGGGTTGACAGCGAGGACATGCTTTCCATGCTTAATTTCGCTTTCGTGTCAACATCAAAAGGAGCCGACTAATATGTTTTTTATATATTTTTTTTTCTTCCGTTCCTTTCGCTCATTGAAGTCTTAAATGGCGGTAATACTTAAATATTTCTTGAAAGAGTTATGTTTTTGTGTTAGATTTTTTTCCTTCTTATTTTGGTGTTACTTATTGCGTGAAAGAATGCATTTCCCTTTCTAAAGAGAATGCTTACTTAGTGGAAGAAGGTTCTCCGTGGTAGTTTCGAAAATCAAAATTTAGATTTTTCAGGAAAAACCTTATTTAATTATACAATATTAATTCATTTCCAATTGCTATTAAATCTGAATGGATGAAGGCTCTAGTGAGAGTCTCTAAGAAGTGTTTTTGCAGTGGAAAAAGTTATTTAAGTGCTTTTGGTCGATGGCAATCCTAGTGAGCATCTATTTTGGTAGTATATTAAGACGCCACTATGTGTAATAATCCATTTCCTTTTCTAAAGAGAATCGTCATTAAACTTAGTGGATGAAGGTGGGAAGAGACATTTTAGAAAAATATTTAGATTTTTGCAGGGAAAGGTCTTATTTTAGTCTTGTGAAACTATACAGTATTGATTCCTTTCTTCATGTTATTAAATTTCGTCAATCTCAGGGGATGAAGGTTCTAAATGACGGTCTTAGTGTGTTTTTGGAGTGGAAGAAGATTTAAATTACATTTTGCTACAAATGGCAATAAATCATAGAGAGTCTCCCTTTAGCAGCATATTAAATCTTCTAGAGTTCGAACAATATAAATACGATCAGTTGAATGTCAATAATTTATAGATTTGTCAAATTAGAAGCTTGCAAACAAGCAATAAAGCCTGGGTATTATCAATTGGAAAAATGTGGCTTATATATATGGCTCCAAGCCCTGTATATCAGATCATTGAATATTATATCGTGCATAGCGATGCAGCATTACAGGATTATCTATCTGACTATTTTTAAGGAAAAGAAATACCTTTTTAAGGATTGATTTTCTCAAAACAGTGTTTAGAAGATTTAAAACAGTGTTTAGAAGATTAACAAATCTTAGGAAAATTCCTTAAAACCTAAAGCAAGCAAACTCCAACAAATATATGTAGCTGCCAGCACATTACCAATATCAACCTACCATGCACTGCAAAAAATGGATGCTCAAACTTGTTGAAACTTTTATAGTTTTAGACGAAAGCGTTTCCTGCCATTTGCTCCAAAGAAATGATTTTTATATTAAACATAAAATATCAAATAAATACCCTCCATAGAAGAAAAGTTGAAAGCTATGGATTTAAGACATTCTAGTTTTGTTTTCAAAACGCTTTTTTTTTCTCCCTAAGATCTTTATATTAATGAGTACCGAAAAAACTGCATTATGAAATAATATGCATTAAAAAAAAAGGAAGGGAAAAACTATATTTATTGGCATGAAAAGAACAAGTCTATTTCCTGGCACTAATTGAGTCTACCGAAATTTAAGTTTTCTCCTTATTATAACTTCCCAAGTGCTCTCTCCATTCTTCCATTAATCCATATAAACCATAGATTTTGAGAGGAGGAGATCAATTTGCTGGGGCTTAAACTTTCTCTGCAGGGAATGTTGTAGACAAAACCCAACTTCTTGTTCCCATAATTGGGTACTCTTCCTTGGCTGTACACATCCAGTATTATTCTACGTTCACATTACTTAGAAAAATCAACGTCCTGAACGCATCGCTGTGGGAAATTAAGAAGTTAGAAGCATGTCCCGGTCAGCTCCATTTAGCGTAATTAGATAGAGCGTACTTTAGTTTTTCCCTAGGGGCTTCTTACCCAAGTACCAATCTGACACTGATGAACCACTTAAAAATTTCCCCTCTATGCAACTTGAGAGGGGGTTGTGCTGTTATTACGCGCTGCAATTTTTTTAAAAATGATGCTTTTCAAACCAATTTTAATCCTTAAAAAAAAATAAAAAATAAAAAAAATGCTTTCCTCTGCGTAATACTTTAAAAGTTAATCTGATTTTTTTAAAACTATACCATTAACGTCTGGCTGATGTGAAAAGTGATATTATGAAATGAGGGACAATTTATTTAGAGGAAGCTATACCGCAGGAAAAATCCTTCATGGCAAATTCTTTTTCACCTACATAAGTAGTTTAGAATTTAAAGCATAGAAAGAGTGAGTTCAGGTAAGCCTAGAATAAACCATGAAGTTTAGGATGCTGAAATGTTTCAAAAAAAGATATCAAATTGCTAACAAATTAAAGCAAGATTACATAGGATTACACATTGGAGAAATTATCCCGTAACAATTTGTTTGGAAGGAAAAAAAATGGAGGAAAAATTTCAAATTTCATTGCTTATTCTAGGTTTACCTGAACTTCCTTTTCCTCTAAACTTTAAATTTTAAGATGCCAATGAGGGTGGAGAGACAGAATTTGTCATGAAAATTGCCCCCTCCCCCGGTATGGAGTCCTCTTAATGTTTAAATTATAATTTCATGATTATCGGTGAAACTTTAGAGTTTTATTTTATTAATATATCACGCTGTACAGGCATGTTTATGCTATTCAAATAAGGAGTTACTTCAAATCTGGAGCAATGTATTGTTTTGAAAAAGTTAAACATGCTATTGAAATTAACTCTTTAATTCTAGCACATTACAGTGTGTACCTCTAGCAAAATAAAAACATATATATAATGCTTTAGATGTTAGATTTAGAAACCCTTAGATTTAAAGCTTTACAAAATTCTACTAAAGCTTAATTGAATTCTTACAACTCGTGAGGAAGTGAAGTGATAATGCTAATCAAATCAGATTAAATTGGATACCTGTAAGCGACGATATGCATTAGTCTGATTGGTATTTGAATCGACAAATGTCACGAATTACCTACAATGACTTTACTTGCAGGTATCCAATTGCATGTTCAATTGCTCAGCTGTGAGATATTTATATTTAAAATGAATGTTCTTAAGATAAGAAAAAAAAAAAAAAATTCTGTGAATTTAAACTAGTAGTTGACAAGTACAGTTTATATTCTTAATTTTTCGCGCATTGATATTGCAATATTTTTAATGAAACAAAAAATAAACTCACAAAAACCTATCTCTATTGCTTTAGTTGTTTTAAAAAATAATACACTGCGCATAAAACAGAAAATAATACAATTTTATTTAAAATAACAAATACATTTAATGTATTTTTAAGCATTGTTTTTCCAACATGCAAAAATCAAACTTCTATTGTAATTCCATTTTCTCTCAGACGGTTCTTTAAAATTTACAAGCTGTCAATTACACTATTCCATTTTATTTGAAATAGTCAATCTATTTAACATATTGCAAACATTGTTTTTGCAACATTCAAAAAATCACTCTACAACCGTAATTCTATTTACACTCAAACAGTTCTTTAAAAATTGCAAGCTGTCAGGATCAACTACCCTATTCAAAATTATTTAATCAATACATTTAATATGATTAATACATTTCATATATTGCAAACATTATTTTTGCAACATTCAAAAAATCAAAACTCCAACCGTAAATCTATTTTCTCTTAAACGGTCCTTTAAAAATTACAAGCTGTCGAGATCAACTACACTAGTCTATTTTATTCAAAATAATCAATACATTTAACGTATTGCAAGCATTGTTTTTGCAACATTCAAAAATCAAACTCCAAACGTAATTCTATTTTCTCTTAAACCGATCTTTAAAAATTACAAGCTGTCGGGATCAACTAACTACACTAGTCTATTTTATTCAAAATAATCAATAAATTTAACATATTGCAATCATTGTTTTTGCAACATTCAAAAATCAAACTCCAAACGTAATTCTATTTTCTCTTAAACGGTTCTTTAAAAATTACAAG